AACGACTTCCTTCCACATGTACCAAAGGAATGTCAGCCTCAGATTAAGAGGCTTCAAAATGAAGGGATGGTACTGGCTAGACATCAAATTAGTGCTGCCAAGCATTCCTTGGAATCTGCTAGCAAGACTCTAGCAACTTCCGTAGCCCTACGCAGACATGCCTGGCTCCGTTCCTCCTCATTGCCATATGATACCAGATCGTCGGTGGAGGACCTTCCTTTTGAAGGCTCTGGACTGTTTAGTTCCACCACTGATACGGTATTACAGGAAATGGATAAGAGTATCAAGACGTCTAAAAGTCTGGGAATCTCTCCCCCAACTAAATACCCTAAGACCAAGCAATGGCCTAGACAATCTTGGTCTTCTAGACAACCGTACAACAAATCGCCTACGGATCAATGGCAAAGACCTCCCTCTTCTCAGTCAAGGTCTTTTCCCCCTAAGAATAAAGGACAATCATCGGGTGCCTATAAGTCGAAGTTTCCCAAGAATCCCAAACAGGGGCTTTGACTTCAGCCTTACTGCTCATACTCGCCTCGCTCCCTTTCTTCACGCATGGCTGGACATTTCTACAGACAAATGGGTTCACTCTATAATAAGAGATGGCTATCTCATAGAGTTTTCTCAAATCCCCACAATTTCCCATTTCGTCGGAACTCCAACGTCACCTGTCCTGATGCAAGAAGTACGATCTCTGTCACTGAAAAACGCTATAGAGATAGTCCCGGCGGCAGATCGTTGCCACGGGATTTATTCCAGATATTTCACGGTCCCCAAGAAGGACGGAGGACTTCGTCCAATTATGGATCTAAGATTTCTCAATCGATTCATTGTTTACAAAAAGTTTCGTATGACCACTTTGCAAAGTATTTTACCACTCCTGCCTCCAGGGACATGGATGGTCACTTTAGATCTCAAAGACGCTTATTTTCACGTCTCCATCCATCCTCGTCACAGAAAATTCCTCAGATTCACGGTCGGAGAGGACCATTATCAATTCAAAGCCCTCCCCTTCGGGCTCTCTACCGCCCCCAGGGTTTTCACGAAGGTAATGGTGGTTGTCGTCGCCCACCTTCGTCTTCAGGGCATTCAGATTTTTCCGTACATAGACGACTGGTTAATGGTGGCAGATTCAAAGGACTGTCTCCTTCAGCACATCACCATTACACTGTCGACCCTATCCTCCCTTGGAATTCTAGTCAATTTGCAGAAATCCATGCTGCAACCTGCAACTCGCGTGCAGTTCATAGGAGCTGTCATAGATTCCCTGGCCACTCGGGCCTACCTTCCTCGCCAACGGGCAGATACCATTCGTCTGGAAATTCGACGTTTGTTCCGATCCAATGTGACATCAGCAGTCCACGTTCAGCGGATCCTGGGTCTCATGGCAGCCACCACCTCTGTGATCGAGTGTGCACGCCTTCGCATGCGTCCGTTGCAGCTTTGGTTTCTAAAGAAATTTCGCCCCTCCTTTCACCCCCCAAGTCTTCGACTAGTCGTGCCTCCTCAGGTCCTTACCTCCCTGCAGTGGTGGCTCGTGGACACCAATTTGCTGGCGGGTGCACCGTTCCAACCGATTGTTCCCGTGATGTCGATCACCACAGACGCCTCCCTGTGGGGTTGGGGTGCTCATACGGACGACACTTGTGTGGGTGCTCCATGGCAGCCCCTTTGGAAACGTCATCACATCAACTATCTGGAACTGCTGGCCGTAAAATTTGCCCTCAGATCCTTGCACAAACAGGTTGCAGGGAAAGCTGTGTTAATATTTACGGACAATACAACTGCAATGGCTTATATCAATCGCCAGGGCGGGACAGTGTCCAGATCCCTTTGCAGGCTAGCTATGGACATATGGGAAGAGTGCCTTCATCGGAATATCACTCTCCAAGCTGCCCATCTGCCAGGAACTTTGAACCAGCAAGCAGATTTCCTGAGCAGAGGAGGAGCATCGGACCACGATTGGGAGCTGAATTCAAAGTATCTCCTCCCTCTTTTTCAACGTCTGGGACATCCCCACATCGATGTTTTTGCAACTCGATTCAACAAGAAGTGTCCCATGTTTTGTTCCAGAGCGGGGTTGGACCCTCTGTCACTGGGGGACGGCCTGTTGATATCGTGGGCTCACAACTTTCTGTACCTATTTCCTCCGATTCCGCTGCTTCACAGGGTGTTGGTGAAAATACAACACGACAAGCCCCATTGTCTTCTAGTAGCCCCCTGGTGGCCTCGGCAAGTTTGGTTCCCGACACTGTTGAGGTTAGCCAAGGGATCCTTTGTACACCTGCCGCAGGAGTTGGATCTCCTCCAGGCTCAGGAGGGCCAGGTCCTTCACTACGATCCTCTGAGTCTCAAGCTGACTCTGTGGGAAATACGCTTTCAGTGATGGACGCTCGTATCAATGATGTCTTGTTGAACTGTCGTAAACTGTCTACTCGGACTTCCTACACAAGGAAGTGGAATCTATTCCTGCAGTATTTGAATTCCTCAAATCTACCTCCTCCGCCAGTGGATTTGAGGTCTATTTTTGCATTTATTTTGTCCAGAATGGACTTGGGTCTCAGTTTTTCGTCGGTTAAAGTGTATTTAGCTGCGGTGTCAGCTTTTCATCCATCTGTTGATGGGTTTTCAGTTTTCTCGCATCCTCAGACAAAACAGTTTTGTAAAGGCCTTATTCGCCTGTACCCTCCCCGTCGTCCTCCAACCCCGGCCTGGGATTTGGCTTTAGTTTTGCGTTTTTTGATGGGAAAACCTTTCGAGCCATTGGCCACTTGCTCTCTAAAATTGCTGTCACTCAAGACTGCGTTTTTGGTGGCCATTACCTCTGCTCGTCGGGTCAGCGAATTGTCTGCTCTGAGGTGTGATCCACCATACTTAAGTTTTTCCCCACATGGGGTTTCATTGTCTTTGGACATCTCCTTTTTACCGAAAGTTGTTTCGGAATTTCATTTACGTTCAGATGTAGTTCTGCCATCATTTTTCCCGTCTCCTGCTAATGAAGAGGAACGGAAATTGCATTCTCTGGATGTTAAGAGAGCGTTGTTGTTCTATTTGGGCAGGACTAAGTCTTTTCGCCAGTCTCCAGCTTTGTTTGTTGCTCACAGTATGCCCTCCCAAGGGAAGAAGATCTCTTCCCAGAGGCTGTCGAGATGGATTGTGGAGGTGATCAAGCTATGCTACGCTTTGGCTAAGAAACCTCTTCCAGGTCAGCTTCGCGCCCATTCTACGAGGGCGGTAGCAACTTCCACAGCTTTCCTGCGAGGTATGCCGTTGGAGGACATCTGCAACGCTGCGACTTGGGCTACTCCGCTCACCTTCGTGAAGCATTATGCCCTTGATGTCCGGTCTTCTCGTCGTGTGGCGTTGGGTCGGTCTATATTGCAGACGGCGCAGATGTAGGGCCTCGGCCCCTCCTCCAGGTAAGAGTTATTGCTTGCTATTCTCCCAAGGGTGTGATGCACAGAGACCACGAAGAAGATAGACAGGTTGCTTACCTGTAACTGGTGATCTTCGAGTGGTCATCTGTGCATTCACACCACCCGCCCTCCTTCCCCTCTGCTCTCGGCCCTTCATCTTGTTTCTTTGAAGGCTGTTGGGCGGCGGTCAGAAGGAACTGGCGGGATCTGCGTGCCCCTCCTTGGTCATGCGCAGTGGAGCCGGCGCGTGACCTGGGAGAGGCGCGAAAATCCCTTTTGCTAGCTACCGGTACCGAGAAGGTCAGCGCAGGCGCAGTATATCCCAAGGGTGTGAATGCACAGATGACCACTCAAAGATCACCAGTTACAGTTGTTCCGTGCGCCTCGGCGTCTAGTCATGCCGGCCATATGACCACAGAAATGTCTTCGGACAGCGCTTGCTCTTCGGCTTGGAAACGGAGATGAGCACCGCACCCCTAGAGTCGGATTCGACCGGCTCTTGAGCAAGGGGAAACTTTTATCTTTAAGGTGCTACTGGATGCAAGTCTGTCTGTCCTGCCGCAGACAAACAACAGCTGCCCTCTGGAACAAGTGGACTTGGCTTGACAGCAGCACATGTGAAAGGGATCTGGGTGTTCTGGTTGATCACAAGCTAAACATGAGCCTGCAGGGCGATGTGGCTGTGAAGAAAGCGAATGCAATCTTAGGATGCATTAACAGAAAAGCATTGTGTCCAGATCACGGGAGGTGGTAGTTCCGCTCTGTTCTGCTATGGTCAGGCCTCACCTGGAGTCCTGTGTCCAGTTTTGGGCACCACATTTTAGAAAGGATGTTGACAAGCTTGAGCGTGTCCAGAAGAGGGCAACCAGGTTGGTGAGAGGGTTGGAATCCAAGTCTTACGAGGAAAGGCTGAAAGAGTTGGGTCTGTTTAGCCTGGGAAAGAGAAGGCTTAGAGGGGACATGATTGCAGTCTTCAAGTATTTGAAGGGCTGTCATGCAGAAGATGAAGCAGATCTATTCTCTCTTGCTCCGGGTTGCAAGACTGGATCTAATGGGTGGAGGCGATACCGGCTAATTATCGGGAGAGACTTCCTAACTGTGAGAGTGGTTGAGCAGTGGGACAGACTGCCTCGGGAGGTGGTGGAGGCTCCTTCACTGGACGTTTTCAAGCAGAGGCTGGACGACCATCTTTCGGGTATGTTGTAGGGTGCTGGTGTGTAGGGCCGTCTTTCGGCTATGCTCCTGCAGACTGCAGGGGGTTGGATTAGATGACCGGCAAGTTCCCTTCGAACTCTAACATTCTATGATTCTATCTTCACAAATGAATCTTTAAAAACTGGAATCTTTACACATACACCAAAAAAAAAAAAACCCTAGGGAATTCTGTCTTGGTTGGCCATAGTAGGACCATTCCACCATGCCTCTCCAGTGGGGATTCTAAGCCACGGGGAAGGTGGGCTTGCGGGCTGGTGTTCGAGATGAAGGGAGAAGCGGCAGCGT